TCATCCATTCTGACCAGATATCCTAAATTAATCTAGTCCCATTTGCTAACATTTGACCCATATCCCTCTAAACTCTTCCTATTCATATAGCCATCGAGATACCTTTTAAATGTTGTTATTGTACCAGCCTCCCCCACTTCATTTAGCAGCTAGTTCCATACATGCACCACCTTCTGTGTGGAAAAAGTTGCCCCTTGAGTCCCTTTTAAATCTTTCGCCTCTCATCTTAAACCTATGCCCTGTAGTTTTGAACTCTTGCCCTGGGGGAAAAACTCTTGGCTATTCACCCTATACATACCCCTCATGATTTAATAAACCTCTATAAGGCCACCCCTCAGCATCCAACATTCCAGAGAATGTAGCCCCAGCTTATTCAGCCTCTCCCTGTAGCTCAAACCCTTCAACCCTGGCAACGTCTTTATAAATCTTTGCTGAACCCTTTCAACTTTCACAACATCTTCCCTATGGCAGGGAGACCAGAATTGCATGCAGTATTCCATAAGTGGCCTAACCAATGTCTTTTACAGCTGCAACATGACCTCCCGACTCCTATACTTAATGCACTGACCAATAAAGGCAAACATAGCAAACGCCTTCTTCACTATCCTGTCCACCTGGGACTCCATCTGCCACTCCTCGGCCCATTGGCCCATCTGATCAAGATCCCCACCAGCTGATATTGTGATTCTCATTCTATCCTGCCAGTCCAGAATTTGACATTAATTAAAGTGATGTTAAGGAAGAGCTATTAATCCTGATTGCTAAATACCTGCAAATATAACCTACCAAAAGGGAGATATTGAGGATCTCCAGAGGAAATGACTAATTATTTTCACTTGCTTACTTAAAGATCTTTATGATAGTCAGCACCTAGCTCGAGATGTGGGGTTAGGTTTGTCAGTGCATGTTGGTTCAGCACATACTAGTGATTTTGTTTTATAAATATGTGGGAGAACTAATTGCAAGTTAATTCATAATCACGAAACTTGAATTTGCTTTAGGTAATAGTATTTGCATGGTAATCCAATGGTGATTTGATTGTAAGTGTATTTAGTTTTAATGTAGATAGTGGACATGCAAATTGAGCAGTATTTTCAGGTTTTCAATATTTTGTTTCCCCCAGGTGGCTGCTTAATAGAATTCTTTGCAGAGATGTGATTTAGATTGATACACTTATCTGAGCCTTTTATCTTCAGAAATCCTTTATAATCTCTGTTTATAAAGATAAATTCACATTATTTCAAGGTTACCTGGAATGTGTGTGAAACTGTTGGAGGTATTGTTTCGGTGCTTTTCCTCCTTAACAATGACAAATAATGCTTGTGTCAACGCTTTCGTGAATGAGGACCATAACGTAGAATACCCAAAGAAAGTTACCTACTGTAAGTACAGAGCCCTAATAACAACTGGAAAAGTGGCATGGAAAATTTACGGATTGCAGTGTTTTTAGGAAGCAAAATTAGGAGTTGTTAACTTCTTCAGCTGAAAATACCTCTGAGCATATTCATAAGTTTACTGTATAATTTGGTAAAATAACTCCAAGTCATTTTCAAAATCACAGAATAGTTACAGCACTAAAAGAGGCATATCTTTCCACAAGAGCAATTTGGCTAGTCCCACTCTCCCGCCCTCCTCTTCCAGCCCTGCCAATATGTTCGCTTCAGCTAATTATCCAATTTCCTTTTGAAACTTTGGATTGAAGCTAAATGTGCTATTCTTTCAACTAGACTTTCCAGGTCTTCAGTAATAAGCATAATGTAGTTGAAAACCATATTAAATTTCAAAAATGACAGACCTCAGTCACAAACCAGAATGTTAAGCAAAGCCAATGACAAATGTATGAGCGGTGAGATGGCAAGGGTTGAGTGGCTAAATAGTCTCTAAAAGGAACTTATTTACTAAATAGTAAAAAACATTTTGTTTTTAAAGCTTGCAATGTTCAACCAAATTTTTTTGTTTAAAAAAAAACAAGAAAAATCCATCCGTGGCTTACTGAGGATAATAATAGTATTAGATTAATGGAAGGCTTATAATGTTACAAAGAGATTTGGGACTGTTTCAGAAAACGGCAAGGGGCTACCAGAAAGTTAATTTTAATGGGTGGAGGGAGGATGGGGGGAAATATGATGGCATGTAAGAGGAAGATAAAGCATTTAAAGGCATCTGAAAAACAGAATGGCTAACGTAAAGTTTGTTCCTTAGGGGCAGAGGTGGGGTAAATTATTTGGGGGATGAGAAAATTACACAAACATTGATCAAATATTTTGCATCGATCTTCACTAAAAAAAAACTGCAAATTGCATACCTGAAAGGGAGTGTAACCTACAAAATAAATCTGAGGAAATTGAAGCAGAGAATGGATACTGGAGAAACTTGGGACGCTTAAGCCCAACTAAGTGTCAGGACCCAATAACCGAAATCATATGGCTCTAAAGAAGGAATGGATATACTAATGTATGAATTTCCAAAATTCTCAAATTGTCCTAGCATATTGGAAATTAGAAAATGTGACACACTTTCAGGAAAGGAGGGAAACAGAATGGAGCACTACAGACCAATTAACCTATCATCAGTCTTAGATTCTAACAGCACGGAAACGGACACTTTGGTCAAATGAGTCCATGCCAAACATAATCTCAAACTAAACTGGTCCCATCTGCCTGCTCCTGGCCCAAATCCCTCAAACTTTCCTAATCATGTGCTTATTCAAAATGTCTTTTAAATGTTGTAATTGTACCCACATCCACCACTTCTTCAGGAAGTTCATTCCACATGTGAACCAGCCTCTATTAAAAACAAATGACCCTCGTGTCTTTTGTAAATCTCTCTCCTCTCACCTTTAAAAATGTGTCCCCAGTCTTGAAATCTCCCATCCTAGGGAAAAGACAACTACCATTAACTCTATCTATACCTTTCATTATTTTATAAACTTCAATCAGGTCGCTTCTCAACCTCCTTCACTCTGGAAAATGTTTTATTGAGGAAGCCTGGTCAATACATTCAGAAATTGTATGACTAGACTAAATCAAGATAGTTTTACAAAAGGAAGATCATGTTTCTTTTCCATGTCTTTGAGGAGATAGTTATTAGGTTAGATAATGAGGAACTTGTCGATGCAGTGTACTTGGATTTTCAAGTGCATTTTATAAATTGTTACACAAGTTAATATATTAGCATGGCTCAGAGATTAATTGATGTATAGAAAGCAAAACCCAGAGATCGAAGGAAATTTCTAAGATGTGGGCTGGAAATAGTGGATATTTAGTCCATAGGTTGCAGCAATTTACAAACTATATTAACAAATTTAACAAAAGCTGAGAGTATTGTATCCATGTTTGCTTACAGTACAAAACTTAGTAGGAATGCAGGCTGTGAGTGTTTGAATACTTAATTAAGATTCAAAAGTGACGTACCTCAGCCACTAACAAGAATCTTGAGCGAAGCCAATGACAGATGTATGAGTGATAAGATGTCAAAGGTTGATTGTATAAATAGTCTCTAAAAGGAATGTATGCTGTGAGCAGTGAAACTGTATAGAGAATTGTATAAGTCAAATGAGTTGACAGAAGGGCGGCAGGTGGAAGTATCATGGAGGATGGGTGAGGTTATTACTTCTGATTTGAAAGGACAGAAAAGCAGAATGTGTTTTAAAGGAAATTGGAAAAGTTGATGTACAAAGGAACTTGGGGTCTGCTAATAAAAGGAACGTAAAGTTTGCAGTCAGCTACAGTAAGCGACTAAGAAGCTTGACCTTTCTCAAAGGGTTTGAATGAAAACGTCTTTGTGAAATTGTGCAAACTTTTTGCTTAGATCACACCCTTGAATATTGCATACGGTTTTGATCTTGATAAACAAGGACAATATAACATTCTCAAAGGAATTGACAGGGTAGATGCTGGTTATTCCCACTGGTTGTAAAATCTAGAACAAATAGCTGCAGTCTTGGAATTAGAAATCATTATCTTGGACTGAGGTGAGAGCACAATTGTTCACTTGGTGTTTTGAAACTCTGGAACTCTCTGTCAGAGTGCTGTGAATCCACTGTCGTTGAATGTATTTACACCGGAGACAGATTTTTGATGTTTTGGGAAACGAGAGATTAGGGAGCTGGAAGGAAAGAAAGAGTTGAATCGGAATACGATCCTTGATTGTACTGGATAATGGAGAGGCTCGATGGAGTGTATGATCTATTCCTGCTCTAATTTACATTATTGCGAGAGGCAAAGGCGGGACAGTTGCAATTTAAAGTGCAATTGTAATTAAGCTGGGACAGATTCTGTGGGTGACAAAATTTCTCATCTTAGTCTTAATTGGCCTATCCTGTATCGTTAAACTGTGATCCCTGCTTCTGGACTCCCTGGTCATTGGGAACATTCTCCCTGCATTTAGTCAGGTATGAGATTTTCCCTCATTCTTGCAAACTTCAGTGAATAAAGTCCTTACTGGTCAAGTCTCTCCAGACATCAGTCCTACCATCCCAGGAATCGGTTTGGCAAACCTTTGTTGCACTTCCTCCATAGCCAGAATATACTTCCTCCGAAAAGGAGACCAGCACTGTACGCAGTATCGCAGGTCTGGTCTCACCAAGGCCCCGTACAGTTGGAGCAGAAACATTCTGCTCCTGTACTTGAATCCTCTTGCTATGAAGGCCTTCATACCATTTGCCTCCTTCACTCCCTCCTGCACCTGCATGTTTACTGTCAGCGACTGGTGTGCAACGATACTCTGGTCTTGTTGCCTTATATGCAGAATATCATAAAATGTTGATTTAGATCTGAACATGCTTTCCATACTGGTTTTATTTTGAAAAATGATTGCAGTATTTCCAAATTTAGCCCTGATATCTCAAATCTTTAATGTTGCTTAAATTTATTATTTTACTGGTAGATTTTTATTAAGATAGCATAAATAAAGATAGTTATCCATGCTGTTTTACTTTTAGCTTTGCTGCAGCATTTCCCTTTTGTATAAACTATTTAATCCATTCATTTTTCTATCAGGGTACGCAAAGCCTCAATCCACATAATGACTACTGCCAGCATTTTGTGGACACAGGTCATAGACCCCAAAACTTTATTCGTGATGTTGGTAAGTTAACGCAATAGTCCTACAGTTTGTGGGGTTGTGAATTAAAGTTATGAGTTTAATTTTATAGGCTTTCCAATTCCCCAAACTTTGGTGATGTGAAATGCCCGCTTCTGATGTCAACAGAGCTGGTTTTTGGGATGGAGAAGGGTATGACTCGGGCAAGCAGGGACCATAAGTTCAGCACCACCGTTGAACTCACTATTGACTGCACTCAACCAGCCATAGATTTCAAAATTCAGTATATAATGTCTGCATTAAATATTATTGTGATTGTTGCAGTTCTTGCTGGACAATCTCCAATTGCCAAGAATTAGGCAACAATCAGTTTAATTATTGGAGCTCATAATTATAGCTGTCACTTAGGTTTGCTGGAAGCAACATCCATTTGCTGAGACCTGCCCTGTTTAGGCAAAGGAATTTGTCCAGACATTACACATTCTTTATTTTAATAAATGCTTGGGGAGATTACCTCCCTTAAGCAATCTGCATCTCTTAAGACTTGACCAATCAAGAGGCAACTTACCAACCAATCAGTACCCTTTCATCATTTTTTAATAAAAGATTGCTCCCTTTGAAATTCGGCTTTTTGCATCTTTGACAGTATATCTCCGTTTGTCTCTAGTCATCAGGTTCTGTCCGACAAGTAAATATTTACGTAGTCAGTACATTTGGAAATGCTTAGATTTACACTTGGGTCCAGGCACTGACATGATCAAAACGGTAGAAGGGTGATCCAGCGGTTTACTGTTTTAAGCAGGTAATAGTACTAATGGGAGTTCACCATGCATGTTTCTTAGGGTAGTGTCCTAGGTCAAACCATATTCAGCTTCTTCATAAATGGCCTTCCCTCCATAAAAAGGTCAGAAGTGAGATATTGACTGGTGATTCCACAATGTTCAGCACCATTCGCCACTCAGATACTGAAGAGGTCCATGCCCAAATGCAACAAGACCTGGATCAGGTTTGGACTCTTTTTTTGGACTTCTTTTTTTTCCACATGGCAGCATTTGTACAGTAGCAGCAGTGTGTATCATCTACAAGATGTTAAATTTCTACAGTAAGACTTGTTAGGCAGCACTTTCCAAAATCCACAACCACTTCCATCTAGAAGGGTAGGAGCATTGGAAACATTGGAACAACACTGTGCAAATTCTTCTCCAAGCTATGCTCACCATCCTAGCTTGGAAATATATTGTTGTTTCTTTAGTGTTGCTGAGTCAAATTCCTAGAACTCCTTGCCTAATGGCATTGTGGATCAACCTACATAAAATTGACTATCAATTCAAGAAGGCAGCACACCACCATCTTCTCAAGGACACCTAGGGATGGGCAATAAATGCTGGCCCAGCCAGCCCACGTTCCATGAATGAATGAAAAAAGAAATCAGCTGCGATCTTACATCTAAAAGGACAGAGTATTCTGAGCTGAACACTCCAAGATTTGCTAAATATGATCCTTTCTGGGTGTGATTTTTTTTTTTTGGATAACACCAATAGAAAACACACATGTTACATGAACTGTAGGGAACAGCACAAGACTGAGAAGCCCACCAACATTCAGTTTATGTCAACTCAACTAGAAATTTCAACCTACTTTCACTGTTGTATGAAATGAACTTCATATAATATTAATTTTCAGGTGTGTATTTGATGAAGAATTTTTAGAACATCAGTACCCATAATTCATTAGGAAAAGTTTCACATTTAATTTTTTATTTTTTAAACAACACAACAGGCCTGGCAGACAGATTTGAAGAGTACCCTAAACTCCGTGAACTGATCAGACTGAAGGACGACCTAATTTCCCAAACCAACACTCCCCCCATGTGAGTACTGCTTTGTGGAATTCTTATATGATTGATCTCCTGTAAAATACAAGTGAAGAAAAGTGTTACCGTTTTAGGCTGAAATAAGGATCTTGCTGTGAAGTAATGATGAGATCTTTAGGCTGCAGAGCTGTGCAATATTGTGAAAATCACAGCACGATCCACACAAATATTGGCACTGTCCAAATTACCATGCATTTAGAGCTGTAGGGAAATGAGTTAAAGGTCCTGTGCAGTTAAAATACATCACTTCTGCACTCAAACCTGAAAAGTTACAAGGTCTTTTGCTGCGGAGTAGTTTCTGAAATAGAAATTTGTTTCCCCCATATTTATTCTACTGTGCCGTCTAGGTTTAAATGTCATATGATAGCACATCCCTGTATTTTGGTCTCTTACTTGAGGAACGATATACTGGCATTGGAGACAGTCCAGAGGAGGTTCACCAGGTGGCTACCATGTATGAAAGGACTGTCTTTTGAGGAATGTTGAGTAGATTGGGTCCATATTTGTTGGAATATAGAAAAATGAGAAGCAACCTTATTGAAACATACAAGATTCTTAGAGGATTTGGCAGAGTGGATGCAGAAAAATTGTTTCCCCTGGTGGGGAGAGGCTAGGACCAGAGGGCATAGTCTCAGAATAAGAGGTCATCCATTTAAGACAGACAGAGGAATTTCTTCCCTGAGTGTAATGAATCTGTCAAATTCTTTGCCACAGAACTGTTGAGGCTGTGTTGTTAAATACGTTCAAGGTTGAGATAGACAGATTTTTCATCAGATAGGAAATCGAGGGTTATGGGGAAAGGCAGGAAAGTGAAGTTGAGGATTCAGGTAACCCATGATTTCTTGAATAGCAGAGCAGATTCAATAACTGGCCTACTTCTGCTCCAATGTCTTGTGGTCTTAATAATATTTTCAACTATATTTGTTACTTGTGCACTTTGGGTTGTTAAAAGAAAAAAAAGCTTTACATTTATAAAGTGCCTTTAACATCCTCAGGATGTCATAATCCTATGCTTCTGTAAAAGCAGCACCCAACAGCGTGCTATTAATGAAAAATCATTGAACTGACGATCTGTGTTATTAATTTGCCATTAAATCCCTTATGAAAAACATTACATCTTGTGAAATGGGGCTTAACTGGATGTTTAACGGTGTGTTATGGTCCTTGTTAGCTAAATGGCATCATGGGATCTGAAAGAGTAATTTTATACTTGCAGAATGTCAACTTTCTCCACTGTTAAATTCCACACATTGGAGACATTATTTTGTGTAGCTGGTAGATATTTGGACCTCTGCTTTAATTCTTTGAGTATGTTCTCATAATTTATTTTGCAACTTTAAAAATTAAAGTGAAGAAATTCTATCTGTGTTAGTTCCGGTTTTGCGGTCTGTGGAATACATCAATGTGATTGGCAGCTTGCTTATTTGATGACACCAGTTTTGCTGAAAACCTGAAAATCCCCTTGACTTGTACCAAATTCAAACAGATTTTGTTTCACAGTTGACTGCTAAATTTAGATCCATATTCTTTCTTTTAATTTTAATTGTTCATTGCAATAGTTCTGTTTTTTTTTTTAACCACACCAGCCTCTTTTTTGTTTTGTTTTTTTCTCCCCCCTGGCCTATCTGAAATTTTGAGGCTAAAAGGTAAAACTTTTCAAATATGTGCATTGTGCACCAGGTAGTATGTTTGCACAGAAATCCTGCAAGTGCCTTCCAATTCTGACCAAATTCCTGATGTTTACACTGGGGAAATACACTGTACCTTCAACAGATGTACTTAGAATTAAGTTGACAATTTTGCTTGTAAATAGGTATTTACCAGCTGACCTAGAGACATTTGATATTAGAGAGCTGAAATGCAAGTTTGACGTTATTTTGGTGGAGCCACCTTTGGAAGAATACTACAGAGAAACTGGCGTAACAGCTGTTGAGAAGTGCTGGACATGGGATGATGTAAGTTGCGTAGATTTGTTGACAATGTTTTGTTTTATTTATGATCATTGTAGAGCAGGTTATCATTTGAAAATGTTTTCAAATAAAATATGACTGAGTTGGGGAAGGTTGTGTATTCTGAATTAATTTGCAGTTAATTATTTGGACATAAAGCCATTTCAAACCATTAAGGCTTGTTCATTAGTAAATTTGTATGTTTAAAAAAAGTATTGTTGTTTATAAGGTTAACTTTTTATTAAGAAGTAGTTTAGTTGAAACAGCATAACAAAATCTGATAGGATAAAGAAGTAAGTTGGCTTGTATCAAAGCACTATGCATATAAATCACAAGATGCATAAACAGGAAATAGTTTAATTTCTGTTTAAAAGAAAGCACAAGAAATAGGAGCAGGAGTTCGAACAACCTTTGCCAACTTAAAGTTGTGTCTGATATGATGTTGGCTTCAACCCACTTTCCTGCTGCTCATGATCCTTGAAATTCTATAGCTTAAGCATCTGTCTCCCTCCACTTTGAATATATACAATGTCTCAGCCTCCATAGCCCTCTAGGGTTCAGAATTCTAACGATACACAACCCTCTGAGAAAATAATTGCTCCTCATCTTAACTGGAAACAGGTGGCCCATATCCTGAAACTATGCCTCCAAGTTCTTAAAACCTTTCAGAAAAGGGAATATTGTGCATGCAGTCTACTCCAGGGTCGCCACTTAAGTTAAAGCTCTCTCCAGTGTCTGGAGGCATGCCCAGCAATATAAGAAGATCAACGACTTTCTCCACATTGCTGCCATCTTCTTTCCATAACACACTCTCACTCTATTTCTGCAACCATGCCAACCTCCCCCACCAATGTTCATACTGTAACCTCCCACTGCCTGCAACATCACTTGCTCTCACCCATCCAACTTCCAACACCATTAACACTGACTGCTCTCTTTGCTGGCTAATCACTCATCGCAGCGCCACCTCACTTGCACCAGAGTTAATGTTTTGGGCCCAGTGACCCTTCTTCAGGTCAAGGGCAGCCTGTGATACAAGTCCAGGGGTGTGAGCAATGTGAGCCAGCCTCACTTGCACTAAAAGTAACAGCTGTTCCACCCACTTTTTCCTCATTTAGTAGCTGCTCCCCCCTTATTCCTGGAGGAAATCTGTTCCTAATAGAAATAGTGCAGAAAGAGTTAAAATGGGCGGTGGTCTGCTCAAATTCTTATCCTTAATGAGGAGAGGATCCCTATGTTGACTGGCTGGCTCACTGTGCCCACACCCCTGGACTGATATCAGAGGATGCCCTTGCCCTGAAGAAGGGTCACTGTACCCAAAACATTAACTCTGCTTTCCCTCCACTGATGCTGTCAAACCTGTTGAGTTTCTGCAACAATTTTTATTTCTGACCTTGACCAAGTATGCCTGGACTCCCTGTGCAAAGACTTATCCTTCTTGACTTGACTGAGGCCTCTGACAACCACGGCAAGGCAAGACAGAAGCAATATCTCTGTCTGAGAGGGCAAAGTGAAAAAAGGCAAGGCAGGGATGTCCTGAGCATCCACAGAGGCTCAGACTGCTGGGCAAAAAGCTCGGAGGTTTAGCCTAGCCCAATCCCTGAGTATATAGTATTCTTGCATTACAGTGATAGTTGCTGGTGCAAATTGTCCTGTAAGTGGATTGGAGATGTGCCATGAGCTTCATTCCCTTTAATTCTTTGTTTTGGCTGTGCAAACCTCCAAGTGTTCCCTGCGTTTGTTTTGTGAGTTTAGACTTACCGCCACTTCCTTATCCCTGTCAGGTGAAGTCTTTTCTGCCTTTCCACTTCTCTGCCCACCTTTTTTGTTTTCAAATTTCTCAGTTCAAAGGCTGTTGAGCTGCAAAACAGTGAAGTGTCCAGCCCTATGGCAGACTGAGTGAGTGTTGTTGAATAGCAGCTGCTTGCTGAGCCTCCAAACCAAGGAAGGAGGAGGCAAGGGGAGCAGACAACAGGAAACAGCGTGGAACAGTGACCCATTTGGGGAGATGGGCAAGCCAGGGATGGAGAGTTTGATTGAAGGAGGAGCTGGGAAAGAGCAATTCCAGGAAGTTCCAGAGCTCTCTAGTCACCTTGAGACTTTGAGGTCTTGGAAAATTCCCTCTGTCAGCTTCCTCTGAGGGAGAATCCTATTGATTGCCTTGGGCGAGGCTTTCATTAAAGTCTACAGATTGCAGGATTCTTCAAGCGGTTCCACGGCAAGGTGTCAGATCTGCATGACTGTTAAAAACTGCATCTGTGTCAGCTTTTCAACTGAGCAGCACCAATGAGAGACTGTGGCTCGCAGCACAAATTCTGAGCTCATTCATCTGCTTTCGTGTGCCATGTCACTGGAATAGGAGCTGCACCATTTTCTCTACCACTATTTAAAGCCGTCTACTGTATTAACAGTTTTTAATGTTTCTCAACCCCCTTCTCCATTTCTGTGACTCCATTTGGGCTGTGCTCTTCCGTCTGGGACTAACATTTACATTGGCTACACTACTTATTTTATATACTTACAAAAACAAAGCAAGAACATTTTATGTTTCTTATTCTTTTCTCTCTCTTTGTTATACTTGGCTGGATTCTATTTTTTTTCTCAAAACTTTGATCTATCACTAAGCTTCACATCATTGTAAACATTCTCTTTCAATTTAATACTATACTTAACACGTTTAGTTCACCATGGATGATTCATCCTTCTGTAGATTTTCTCTTTTTAATATATATTTGCTGAGAATTATGAAATTGCTGCTTTGAATCTGTCACTTCTTATCTAAGCAGCTTTTTTTTTTGTAAACTGTTTCCCTAGCCGACTTTAGCCAAGTTCATTTTTTTAAATTTATAATTGCCTTTAAATTTAGTCACTAGTTTCAGAACAAAGATTTTTGTTCTCCTAATGAAGTGAAATTCATTGTTTTATAGTCACTGTCTTCCTTAAAGGATTCTTTGCTATTAGATCAGATAATCAATCCTGTCTCATTAAATATTATCAAATCTAAATTATCCTGTTTCCTGGTTGGTTTCTTGAAATACTGACTGTTTCTTAGAACAATATATTGATTGAACTTGTCTTCAAGGTTACCTCTACCAGCTTTATTTCTCAATCTATGTAAAGAATAAAGCCACCCAGGATTATTGATTTGTTTCTTGATTTTCTGTCTTACTGTGTCATGATTATTTGGGAGCATTTCAGCTCCTCTTATCAGTGATTTATTTCCCTGTGATTTTTTTTTAAATTTTGACTCACAAAGATTCTACTCTAGTCTTGCAAACTACAGTAATTTCTCACTACCCTATTGATCCTATATTTTACTAAGAGAGAGACCACAACATTTTTTCTTTCTGCCTGTCCTTCTGAAATGCCATGTGTCACTAAATGTGCCTTGGTCACCTTGTAACCGTATTTCTGTAGCAGCTGGCAGATCATACTTGTTTTGATTCGTGCCTTCAACTATTCTAATTTTGAATGCAGTGCATATTCAAGTAAGAGCCTAGAAATTTGTTTAACCATTTTGCCAATTCTGATCCTATTTGCTGACATACTGTTATTTATATATACTCTTGTTTATTCCTTGTTACCGTTCCCATAGTGTTATCCTGCACTATTGCCTTGTTATTTCTTTTTTCTTTATCTTTCTAAATTTTCACACATTAAAACCCTCTCCTCCACTATTTAGTGTAAAGTCCTATCTATAGTCTTAGTTATTCAATTGATGAGGACATGGATCCCAGTATAATTCAAGTAAAGCTAACAGAATAAAACAGCTTCCCTTTCCTAAGTCTCGGTGCCCATGAATTGAAACCCATTTCTCCCACACCAATCTTTGAGCAACACCTTCAACCTTTAAATTTAATTGGACCTTTTCCAATTTTCTCGTGGCTCACATAATAACCCAGAGAACTTCTGTAGTTCTACTTTCTAATTTAGCCCCTAGCCGCTCATGTTCCCTCAGAAGAACTTCCATCTTAATTATATCTATGTCAACAGTACATGGACCACAATTGTTGGACCTTCTCATCCCATGCCAAGTTTCTTTCCAGCCCCAAGAAGTCCTTAGCCTTGGAACTGAACAGGCAACATCGGCTATGGGCAGACAATCTCTCTTAAAGACAGCAGAATCTGCTTTCATAAGTACAGTGTTAAACGTCACTGCATTCCTTTTTACCTCTGTACTGGAATGCTCTCTGCATAATAATGCTGCAATATGCTTGCTCAGTCTCCGTGCGTCCCTTATGCTTAACCACATAGGCTGCACAAACCTTGCACCTGTCGGGCAAGTTTAGGGCTCCTCTAGTCCTGCTTTCTGGGTCCCCATATCGAATTCACTCATAGTGACACCTTCTTATTCCTGACCATATCTGACGTCCTTGATCTAAGCAGAGTGACTGCATCTTAGAATAAAATGTCCGGATAGCCACCACCTTCTCCCTCCATACAGCATTGCAGTATGCAAAACTCAGACCCCAAACTATCAATTCTGAACCACAATTCCTTGAATTTCAAATATTTCATGACAGATGTGGTCATTGTAGACCACACTAGCATTCATTAAGTACTACAGCTGCAGCATATCAATTGCCTGCATCTGTGTTATGTATTTTTTATTTCGCGTTTTGAGTTTTGATATCACTATTTGTAGTTTGCTTTTTAGTCAATCTTGTTTAATCTATTAAACTTGTATTCTTCAGACTTCTACTGTTACTTAGTCATCTAAACTACTTTAGCTCTTATTTTCAGTTATTTTTATCATAAAGTATCCCCATCTCTCTGAATCATCACACCACAAATTCCACTGCATTCTGGTGAAATCGACATTTGTGTGTAGTCGCGCTGCTGCAATATTCTTATTAATTCACTTGCTGCTTTACTTTCCTGATTTTAAAAAAAATTACTTTCCTTATTCTTTGATTTAAATCAACGTCCAAGTTTAAAGAGGGGGAGAAAGCACAAATCTACCTGAAGCGTTGGTAAACTGAACGTGCTGGTTCATTTGGCAACTGCTTGACAAATTCCTATAGCTTTACCAATGATTTACATTAATGGTGAATGGAAAAGGGCAAGGTTACTAGTTCGTACCTAAACATAAATTGACACTTGAGTCTACGACTTTGAAATTCAGGTGGTTTTGAAATATTGTACTAGCGGCACTTTAAAGAAAAGGTTAAAAAAGATGATAAAATAAGTATCAAGCAAAAAGTCACATGTCCACATCATCCCTTGTTACCTGCTTTTAATGGCAGTATCAAAACAGCAGTGTAAAATAGCATAAATCTTGTTAGTGTGCTAAAGCATAAGCATCAAACTCTTATTACATAAAATACCATCTGGGTTAATTTAACTCCGGATAACAGCACGTTTTATACGTTTGTGATGCATAAGTTAGAAGGACAGAGATAGCCCCGAATGAATTTTATGGAAGTGAAGGATGTGTTAACATCAATCGAGCACAATCTTGTAACAAGGTTTAAAAATGAAGATGCTACATTCTACCTGCTTTCTTATATGCTTCAGAAACTGGACAGTATGTAAAGATCTTCAGGAGAAAATAGAGGCCTTTTGAAATATGGATGCAAAGATGTATACAGAAGTTCCCCATACAGCCCATTTGACAAATGAGGAGATACTTGAATTTTCCAAGAGCCAGAAGAACTATAAACAGTAATAGTCAGAAAAACAAATAGCAGTATCTTGCCTATTTGATCAGAGCTGAAATGGAAATATGTGTCTGATATGTTTAGGTGTCTACATTCACCTAATCTTCCACACTAAAACCTTCACTTAATATTTGAAAATGAGCTTTGCAGTTGCATGTTAATTTATTCACTTTGCATTCAAGAACAGGAAGCAGACCTGCTTAGTCTTAGCTTGTAAGTGCTAAAATTAGTGAGTTTTATAGCGTGTCTTGTTTTTGGCTAGCGCACTGGCAATCAAGTCCTGCTGTTCTAGAGTCATCTCAAAAGTTAAAGATCTTATCAAAGCATACAAAAGTGCCCAGTTTACCTGTCCATGTTGACAGAAAACACCAATCGAGTTTCTGTACTTAGCAGGAATTACTATTTATTAAAGCAAATAAATTCTAGCTACAAGTATACAACTGTGAACTGTTAGCATATAACGCTGCTGATTAAAACTGTAAGCCCTTTATAGTTTTTTCCTCCATTTCTCCCCTCCATCTCAATCAAAAGAAAAATATACATGTTTATAGAAACATATACAGGAAAAAATACATTGGTGTTATGGGTAATAGGAAAAGCTGAGAGGTTAGTTCAATGGTCCCTGACACCACAATTAGCTGAGATGATTCTTTTGGCTTGCCAGGACTTGCTGCTCCTTAATCTCTCTTCTCCAGGTACTGTCTCTTGACTGCAGGAAACACAGAAGGACTGATTCACAACTTTATAAAGTCTCTGACTTCCTGGTTAAAAGCAAATGTTTACCTCAACTGGTGAGGAAACTATAAAATGGCTTTCTTCAGGCTTTAGGTATCAATTTATTGCAGGGACAAGGACCCCTGCGCACCCTACCTTGCCACTTACTGAAGGTCCGAAGGCTCTGGTTATATCACGTAGACTGACTCTGCTCAGCTACCTGAGAGCCATATCGTTGGGCAGAAAATTTTTGTCATTTTTTGTGGTGGATTGAATCTGCAGACACTGGAGTCGGGGAAAATCTTTACTGGAGAATGGCAGTGGGTTGAGAAGCCAGGCTGTTTCAGTTAAGATCGGTTCTGTATTCTCATGCATGACTAAACTGGAAAAGGGTGCCTGTTGTGCAGGCAGTTCTACTAGCTTCACTATAATAATGTCCAAGAATTCCTTGATGTGGCATGGTGCAGGAGTTTTAATGTCCTTGGGGACAGAGTTCTAACACAGTTTCAGAGGAAGTATAAAACAGTTCTGGTTGGCAGTCTGATAAAGATGCTGTCTGCTAAAGCAAGAACATCTAACCTTTGAGACGTGGTTTCACTGAACTGTAAGTTGGACTGTGTTTGACTTTTCTGTTCTAGTTTATCTTCTAGAATGGAATGGCAATTAGAAGTTGGCAGGGCGGTCCAACATGTTTATCTTGCAGCACTCTTTTTTGTGACAATGCTGTAATTAAAACAAGGTAGACTTTGTCCCTCAAGGCATAAAGACAATGATTTCATTCTGTACCTCGAGTGAAGTGCTGCAGGTGCTAAACATATGTGGGCCACATTTCCTACTTCTCTGCTGATTACAGGCAGGTCACAGGTTTGGCCCCTGCCTCATCACGTAGAAACCCTCAGTGGAATTTTCATATTACATGTTTTGAATATGGAAAGGTTTTTCATTAAAATAGTTTTGAAGTGAAATTTGTGCAACTAGCACACACACTTATTTGCTGTTAGCATTTGCTTCTGAGAACAAATAACATACATGTAAAAATATTGAGGCACGACAACTGAAATGAAGGAAGAGTTCTGATATCGTTTAGTAATGTTAATGGGTTTTTTAAAGCAATTGTAAACTGTGAAAGATTTGTAGCAACAAAATAAGCCAAATTATGCTGATCAACTAGCGTTCTCAATCAGATCCACTGATGTCAAGCCGGTGTTGTTCTCTGAACACTGCTTTCTGCTGGCTGACTGTCACCTACAGGATGACCAGCGGGACGGCAAAGGAACGTGGAAGCAGAATGTGAAACTGTTGACCCTAGAATACTGAGTTTCCAGCAAACTGATGGAAAACAGTCAAGGGGAACATCAAGAGGTTCTTTTTGTCGTAATCTCATGATTGACGCCTATCAAGTTACATGTTTACTTTTGCCCATTTTTGTCTTGCTCTCGTACAGTTGTAAACATGACTTCAATATTGGATACCATTGTGCAAAGATACCTTTGCCCTCATTTGTTGTAATAAATGATTTTTGCTACAAGCTAACATTAAAGAAACGCTCTTGAGTGGAAATCATACCTCATATGGAAACAGGTTATAGAAAAGTAACCAAATAGTCCACAAAAGGCTAGGAGGTGAATTCAAGTCTGTACCCGGCAAGAAAACAAATTAAAAATGTATTCATGAATAATGAAGAATTAGTTTATGATGTTGAAGAAACTTCTTGCAAGTAGTTATTTTTAACTCGAGAAGAAAGCATCTTCATAGCAATCTGTTTTCCCCCGATAGATCATGAAGCTGGAAATTGAAGAAATTGCAGCTCCAAGATCATTTGTCTTCTTGTGGTGTGGTTCTGGGGATGGTCTCGACCTTGGAAGAGTGGTAAGTTGTAAAGCAACAGCAATCTGTAGCAGAAAGATCCTTCATTTACTGAATAGTCTATTCATATGATAAATATGTCTGGTTTACTGCTGACCAATTGTTTGCCATCAATGGATGGAGTGTATTGAGTCTTGAGCTGAGTGCACAATTTGCCCTGATCTATCTAGTATGCTGTTCTTTGTCTAACATTTTCATCAACAAATTTTTTTAATCAAGATAGCAGGAACATATTATTCTGCATTTTCAATTAATTTTTATATATTAAAAACAATCGTCTTCTGCCAATTTTTTTCCATCAAGATAGTTCATATCTAGTAAACTTTATTAATAAATAGCAGCAATACATCCTCTTCAGTGGACAGAATTCCTTTTCTGAAAATCTGCTATTAATACTGCAAGGAATAACATTCCACTATTCAAACATTTGTTAGAAGTTTGCACATTTTAATTATTAGCCCTAAGGACTCCTTCCTTTCGTAAACCCTGATGCATGTTTTGCAATTGTTAACATTTTTTGAACTGCTTTTAATAAGAATTTTCATTAATATTTTTATATAGTTTGAAGTTTTTAAGCGAGTTTTTTCTTTTTCCCAGATCATTTTCATTACTCTAATTTCAATATAATGAAAGTATATACTTGTATTTTGAATATAACTGCTTTTTGTTATTGCGGTGACTATATGATGCAATTGACAATAAATCTTATCAACATTATAGCTAAATTAATTATTGAAAGGTGTCTTATTTTGTTAAACTGGCAAGTTCCTGAGTTTAAAAAAAAAAATCAAAATGTACTCAAGTATGTAGTTTACAATTATCAGCCCTGATTTTAGAGATTTTATATTTTTATGCATAATTCACATTTTATTGATTCTAGTGCCTACGCAAGTGGGGTTTCAGGCGTTGTGAAGATATTTGTTGGATCAAAACCAATAAGAATAATCCTGGAAAAACGAAAACCCTGGACCCAAAGGCAGTCTTCCAACGAACAAAGGCAAGTGTCTTGTCTGACTTGGGAGCAAGCCCAAACTGTTTCATTGAGTTTGCTCAGAACCCATGCAGTCATACAAAAAAAAACACCTGTTTTTTCTTCTGTTGTTCAATTGAATTTCATTGAAAATTGCAGTTCAGAATGGGTAACTAATTCCTCACCAATTCCTATAGCCTTTGGTGTGAGATAATATAGAAGGCACTGTTCACTTTCCTAATTTGCGCTATGAAGCTCTATTATAGCTTTGTGAATAGAGTTATTCACTTGTGCCATTGTGCTAACTGAAATGCAAAGTGGGAAGGATGGAAAAGGCCTTGAAAGTGACTATCCAGTATCGAATAAAAGAGGGTCAGTAAAATTCAAACATGTTCCTCAACATTTGCCTCATGCTGTAGCTTAATAACACCTCGTGTAATACCTCTGAACTTCAATTAAAGAAAAATTCAGCACAATTAAAGTTCAACTACTTGCTATAAAATTATACTTTTTTTAAACAATCTGACCCTGCATGAATCCTACTACTAAGTGGTGGTGCATTGCAAGAACTAGATTTCATTCTGTAAAAATTGTTTAGTTGTAAAATGTCTTTTCTGTTCTTTTTTTAAAACAAAAAAATCTCATGCAGTTTTCTAACTAAGAAACGGTGCATGACTATTGGTTTTGGATTGTGAACTTATAATCGCAGTTTCCTTCATGAATAGCTATTGATTTCAGCTGGGGTTTTGCTAGTGAAGAATAGAAAAGTTTAGTTGGGGGGGGTTAGGAACATGTCATTGCTTATAACCATCACAAGGAGCATAGGAAAAAGACCCAGGATAATAAAAGTTGGCTGCCAGTTGGTTCTAATGTTATTATATGCTGACAAGAAACCGATTTTGGATAAAATCAAGCTTCAAACTGATTGTAAGGGCAAAAAATTTTAGAACAGAAAAAAATCAACCTGATTGTGGTATGGCAGAAAGTTTTTCTGTTCGGGAAAACCACCAACAAATCTTTACTTGTAAGTAAGATATTGTTAATCGTCAGCATAGTTCACTAGATTTCAATGAAACCAAAAGATCAACTAATGGAACACAAATGAAAGTCTAGTTGAAAGTGTTCACTGCAGTGTGCTGATGGATCAAAAATATATTTAAATAATCAAAGCAGTTTTTCTGCTTTTGGTACATGATATTAGATTTGTTAGATATTAACATCAGTTTACTTAGCATAATAAACGGATTCTTTACTGGTGTATTCATAGAATTCAATAGTTTTAACTTTGGTTTGGAATATATAACCTGCATAAAAGTAGTTTGCTGCTTTAGTTAACATGTTTGTGAAAAGCATATCTCATTGCAGAAACTGTTTTCTGTGTCTAGATGACTGCTAATTATTATTAAAATCAGTGCTTTAATTCATTCTAATGCAGAACTTTTCATGATCAGTTCTTACAACACACTGACCAGATTCTCCAGAATTGACAACAGTGAATTACTTAGCATGAAGCACTGATGCGCAGCAGCCTCCAGAGGAAGCCGTGACTTGTGTACATGCGCTATTTATGCTGGAAGATTAAACTTCCAGTTGCAAAACTTCCCCTGCTTGGACTGCTACTTTGTTTTCCAGCTTTCTGATTCCACTGTCATAGAAAATAAAGAAATCTGGACTTATTACCATATGCTCACTTTGGTTTGTACACTGATTTTCTTAGGCTTTACCCTTCTTCTGAAGAGTTCTACTAAAGAACATGACTGTTCAATAAATTAGCTGGCATGTCAAAGCACAGTGCCAGTTGCAGCAATGTTCAACTCCACCACTGCCCTGGCACCCTCAAATCCACCCCCTACCCCTGCCAACTGTGGTCAGTGAGGGAAGTTTGGTGTCAAAGGTGATGACCGTATTGAAACAATGTACGTCAATGAACTGAAGACAGGACTTGAGCGAAATGTTTTCAGTTTGTGAAGAAAAATGGTGTGGCTTTGCGGTTACGTTGCGACTTATTTGTTGCTAGAGGTGGAATAAAGTTGTAAAAACTCCAAGGTCAAATGATAAGTCAGCAGCAGGTGCACCCTCTCCAGTGTTGACTAGAAGATCAGGGACTATGTATTCCGTAATTAATAAAATAATAAAATTGCTGCATTCCATGTCTATTCATACTGACATGGAAGGCAAGGTCAAGACTTGATTTGAATGTTTTAGATGGACTTGCTTTGCTTTCTCAGGAATAAATTATGTTTAGTCATACACAGCCTTGCTTGTGAGCTGTTTGGCATACAGCTTTGAATTTTAGGCACCATACTCCAGGAATAGAATAGAATAGGCGTTATTGTCATGTGCACTCATATGAGTGCAGTAAAAAGTTTGTAATGTCACCTCTTTGGTGCGATTTTAGGTACAGGGGACCTAGGTACAGATACTTTAACTGTTGTTACAGAATTGAAAGAGTTTTTTAAAAAAAAGTTTAGCATTGCAATACAAAGTTTTAAAAAGTACTCAACTTACTCAAAGTCCAGAATAAGAATTAAAAGTATCTTTAAAAGTACTTAAATTATAGTCTTTTTTCAGAGTCTGTGCCCGCCGGCCTTCAGAGCACGAGGCCTTGCTACCTCCCACTGCCGGCCTCTGGCCTGGACTCACCTCTGGACTCATCTCCCAGGCTGGCTTGGGCTCGGACTGCCTCCCGCTCCGGGCTACAGTCCTCGACTCATCTCCGGGATCATCTCCCATGTCAGCCCGGGCTCTGTCTGTTCCCACTCTGGGTTCCGGCTGCGACTCCCTCACGGGACTTGCCTCCCGTGCTAGTATGGTCTCCAACTTGTCTCTTGCAAAAGGCTGGACTCCGACACGCCTCCATTCTCCATTCTGTCTGGGTAGGGTAGTTTATGAAGTTAAAAGTTGGGGCAGGGCATGATGGAAGAAAAACTGCAGAAAAGAAGGAAAAAAAAGAAAGGAAAAGGAACTGGTGAAGCAGAGGAGCTCTGGCTGGAGTGTCCTACTGTGCTGCCATATTGAAAATCCAGGAAAGATATATTGGCTGAAGTTGTAATATAGATTCATTATGTTACTACTTGTACCCAAGTTTTGAACCTAGGTACCTTCATATCCAAGATGGCACCATATGTGGCAACATTATATACTTTTCACTGTACTCTTGTACTTGAGTACAAGTGACAATAAAGCCATAATCAAATCAAATCAAACCAAACAGAATGGACTGTATACCTCTGATGTACTTGCATTTCTAAGATCCTAGAAATGTTGGTTTTTACAAACTTTAATGGATGAGACATATGTCTATTATGAAATATTTTATTTGTGGAGACAGACAGCCATTTTGACAACAAAATTCAATGCACCCAAAACCCATATGCAGCATTGTTTCAGTATAAACCCACTAATATATTTCATTGGCAAATGTCTAACTTCTAATGTATTGAGAATTTTATTTTTCAGGAACACTGCCTGATGGGTATCAGAGGAACAGTACGTAGAAGTACAGATGGTGATTTTATTCATGCAAATGTGGACATTGATCTGATTATTACAGAAGAGCCAGAGATTGGAAACCTTGAAAAGCCAGTGGAAATATTTCATATTATCGAACACTTCTGTCTGGGACGAAGAAGGTTGCATATTTTTGGAAGGGATAGCACAATAAGACCAGGTGTGGACTTTGTTAAAATTTCTTTTGAAGGCAAAATATTTGTACTGAAATATCGAGCACATTCTGCTGCTTTATATAGTTTTTAAAATAGTTGGTGAAAAAACTGTTGCATTCAAAGATTATTTTTCCTGGGTATCTGTAAGGGCTCATTCAGTAACTTAGAACCAAACAGATCAGAGAAGTTCCAGATTCAGGGTCTGGTGTGTTCTGTATGGTTGATCTCCACTGGGGCAGCAATTTTGATCTTGCGTTTTACCTGATCATGAGGTTAAAAATGAACTAACTTCTCAGTCATCCAGCAGCAGTGCTTGAAGTGCAAGTACTTTAATCTAATTTGACCTTGAATTAAACTTATTTCCTATTCATAATTCTGATAATGTTAAAGGATTGGTGTTAAATGCTGCCCAATAAGATTTGCAATAATTGAAGCTGTTGCAAAGTTTGTAGATATTACCTGTTAAGTAGATGGAGGGGTTGGAAATTAGAAAGCTAAAGAGCGAATTCTATTTGTATCTCACTTTTCTTGATTGCTGAATGTCTCAAAGCACTTTACAACTAATTAAGTATTTTTTAAAGTGTAGTTGCTTTTGCTGTGTAGGAAACACAGCAGCCAATATGCACTCAACAACCTCCCTCAAACAACAGTGTAACAGATAATCTGTACTTGTGATGTTAAGTAAGGGATAAATGTTGGACAGAAATACATTTTTTTTCAAAACTCATCCCCATAAAACAATCCATTGATTCTGGTATCAATCTAGTTAATCTCCTCTAAACCACTTCCAATGCATTCGTAATCTTTTTAAATAAGTAGGTGAAGCTGCAAAATATATTTGAGATGTGGGCTCATCAATTTCCTATATTAACATATGGTATTCTTTCTTTTATGTTGAATTCTTCCCACAATCAAGATAACATCCCATTTGCCGCCTTAATTATTTGCCATTCTTGTGTACCAACTTTTTGAACTGGTGCACTGGAACAACAAGATCTGTCTGCATCTTGGAATTCCAGTCGTTCTCCATTTAAGTAATGCTCTGCCATTTTATTCTTCCTGTGAGCAACTTTACCTATTTTTCCATGCAATGCTCCATTTGCAAGATTTTTGTCCACTCACTCAACCTGTCTATTAGGACAATCATAGTATTGCTGATAGCACTCCAGTGCCTTTTGATTAAGCATATTTTAATCTGAGAAGCCAATATACTCCTTTAATCTGCCAAACTAGCAGCAAGATAAATTGTCCCTTTTCTTTTAAAGTGTTTGCTTTATAAATTTAACATAACTTCTAGGGTTGTTCCAGTGAATCATTTTATTTTAGGGTACCTTTCTAAGCATGGTAAATTTTTATCAGAACTGCGTTGGGCAGTCTTAACTCTGGGCTAACAAGTCTTTTGTCTAACTTCATGCTATTAAATTTTGTAATTTAGGATCTGGAATTGTGTGCTGTTTCTGTAGCAATTAGTTTTGCATATCTCAGTAAAGATCAGAGACAGAGAGGACTAAGGAAGGGTCACCGGGCCCAAAACGTTAACTCTGATTTTTTTTCTTCACTGATGCTGCCAGACCTGCTGAGCTTTTCCAGCAACTTTTTTGTTTTTGTTACAGAGAGGACTTTATTGTGTTGAATGTTGATGTTACCTCAAAAACTCTGGATTGTTATCAATTTGTTACCTTGTCTCAAAGTTGTGTCCATACCTTTAAAGATCAATTAACTAGATATTTTCTCATTCCTGGACATTTTAAAACACTATTTTTATTTGACTTTGGTATTTATAATTGATTCAAACTTAACTTTTTTTGCATTTTTGGGATAAGTTTGCATTTACTTCAATTTTTCTCTTATTTTTCTCCCTTGTTTTTAGGATGGCTGACTGTGGGTCCTAGTCTTACAAACAGTAACTTTAATGCTGAAGTCTATAGCTCATACTTCACCGGTACTAATGTGCACCTGACTGGTTGTACAGAGGAAATTGAGAGACTTCGCCCCAAGTCACCACCTCCGAAATCTAAATCTGATAGGGGAGGTGGAGCCTCTAGAGGTGGAGGAAGAGGTGGACCTTCGGCTGCACGTGGAGATAGAGGAAGAGAAAGAAACAGAGGAAATTTCAGAGGAGAAAGAGGGGGATTCCGAGGACGCGGAGGTGCCCATAGAGGATTTGCTCGGTGATGGCAGTAGCCGAAAGGGGATTCAATTGAAATGACAATGGAAGCAGGATTTCAGAATCACAGTCTGAATTAATTACTGCTCTCCAATTTTTTCTTTTAACTACTTGATATATGCTATTTAACCAGGGAGTAATACCTCCATAAGAACAAAACTTACACAGGTAATGTGTACACAAGCAATGGTTTGTGCACGTTCGTCGTGAAAAATATATTGTAATGCTCAAAGTACGATATAGCTTACTTTAAATCTGATGCAGTAATTTAGATTGTTTTCCAATTTGAAACTCATTGCAAAGTCTTTTAAAGCTGTAAAATGTCAAACAACCTTAAAGTCCAGAAGTTAAAGATAATGTTTTGAGTTAATTGTTTTGAAACTATTTGTATTTTGCCCTTGTCTGTTTGGCTTGATCTTATTAGATGACGTAACTGTAGTGTCGGTTTCCCAGCCAGTTGGTGCAGCTCCTGTCAGACCTGTTGTAATTGATTATCTATGGTCAAGTAACAAACACTGTCAGCTTCAATCTGATCAGGTTGGAGGCAAGACCATGTCCCCAATCTTCTCCGTTCTATTCAAAGATGTCAAAATTATTGTAACCCTTTACCTTAACAATATGTCAGAAAAATTAAGATCACGTTATAAAAGCTGTAGTCGGCTCTCAACAGATTTTGAATACTGCCCTGCAGGGCTCAGATGAGATGCATGATATTGAGAAGTTTGTGCCTTGCGGTGTAATGCTCTCACTTTCAGAGCATCAACTTATAAACAGACTTAAAAATTCAAGCATTGTTAAATTTCATATACAGTCCATTAAAGAAACAAACAAAAGTAGAATATTCTATTTGTTTCAGATCATAAACTTCTAACTCTGTTGCATTTTCCATTACAATTTGTTGTTAACTGTTTCATGGTAATATCTTTCATTGAAAATGATCCCAAAGTACAAGGTCTAGAAAGAAATTGCAGGATGAGTTAAACTCTGATAGTGACAAATTAGAACCCAATTGATCATTATAGAGCAGTTGATAAAAAAGCAAATTACTGAGTGAAAAATCTTTAAATGAGTAACACATAACCACATAACTTTTGAGGCCATTTGGCTCAGTAATTTATCAAATTCAATTAATTTTGCTTCCTAAGTAAATCATTCTGACAGCCACAAGTTTGTATAAATCTGTTAAAGCATTTTAGTATCGATCGAGCTTTTTATTTTAGATACAAAGGTCTTACCTTTTTGAATATTTTTAAAAAAAGAACTAAGTGAAAATGAATATTTTCAAGAACTGTCAAGTTAAAACTGAGCAATCTATTTGATGTCTTCAAATTTTGTGGAGCAATGACACCAAGTCTGTATGAGGTTCCCCCTTATATCCCATCTGATCAATCAGGCTATTTTGGTATCTGTGACTCTTTAGTCAAGAATAAAATAAAATAAATTTCATGTGCTTTAATTTAGTTAATGTTTTGTGTATTGTGGAATTGTTAGCTTTGTTATTTAAATTTGATTGTTGAAAGATACTTGAAACATTGTATTTACTTTCAGTACAGAATGAATTTATGGCATATCAGTTTTAAATGCAGGCTGTGAATATGCAGTTTGTGATGAGCTGCTATTCCATGTACTCTAACCAGATCAATTGTTTACTACACTGCCAAGTTACAGATTTTTTTTTGAAGTGTTCAAGTATTTGATTGACAGTTTTGTTCCGTGATCTTACAGGTGACAAATACCTAGTGCATGTTTTTAAAAACTAAATAAATTTTTTTTAAAAATTTGAGGTAGTTTCCTACAGAATTCTCTGGCTTTGTTCCAGATACCATAATATCTGAAGAAATTGACTACAATACTCTTTTGAAATGTCCATTGAAAAAATATTTTCAGCCAGTTAATCTTGATGTGTTAATGTTAATGCTTTTATTCATATATCCACCCAACAATGGCCAGCTAAATAGAAAACTGACTCAAACACACCATCCCTTTAAATAATTTTGGCATCGTACAGCTAGTGACCCATCTCCATTAAGTTCATTATGTGTGCATTTTCCAATCTCTTGCCGCTGATCATCAGTTTCACCTTCTGAATATTGCATTGGAAAATGTAGATTCCACCAATATCTGCCTTTAATTTTCAATCGCATCTCATTGAATTTAAGGTCTTAAATTGGAAATTCCTATCACAACTGTAGCTACATTGTCTAGTGAATAGAGAATGTTAAGACCATAAGATATAGAACAGGAGTAGGCTGTTTGGTTCCTGAAGCCTACTCTGCCATTCAGTAGAATCATGGTTGATATGACATTCCTTACGTCCACTTTCCTGCCTTTTCCCCGTAAGTTTTGATTGCCCAACTGATCAAGAATCTACCTATCTCAGCCTTGAATATACACAAGGTCTCTGCCCCACAAAGGCAAGAAGTTCCAAAGACAACCTCCTCATCTTAGTCTTAAAGTGACACCCCTTTATTCTGTGACTGTGCCCACTGGTCCCAGACTCTCCCATGAGGGGAAACATCCTCTCAGCATTTACTCTGTCAAGCCTCTTAAGAATCCTGTATGTTTCAATGAGATCACCTCTCATTCTTCTAAACTCCAGTGAGAAGAGTCTCAAACTGTTTAATCTTTGCTCACAAAGAAATCCATCCATACTGGGGATTATCCTAGTCAATCTTCTCTGAACTGCCTCCAATGAAATTTAAAAAGGGACCAAAACTGCTGTCAGTCCTCCAGATGTGGCATCATCATCATCATCATAAAACCCCACAGTGTGGAAACAGGCCATTCAGCTCAACAAGTCCACTGGGGCAACATGGTGGTTCAGTGGTTAACATGGCTGCCTAACAGCACCAGGGACCCAGGTTCGAGTCCAGCCTCGGGTGCCTGTCTGTGTGGAGTTTGCATGTTCTCACTATGTCTGTACGGGTTTCCTCTGGGTGCTCCGGTTTCCTCCCACAGTCTAAAGATGTGCAGGTTAGGTGGATTGGCTATGCTAAGTTGCCCATAGTGTCTAGGGTGGGAAATGCAGGGAGGGGATAGGAGGTGGGTGTGGATCGGATGCTCTTTGGAGGGTCTGTGTGACTCGATGGGCCAAATGGCCTGCTTCCACGCTGTAGAGATTCTGTAATTCTCATGAGCACCTTGTACAGTTGTCTTAAGATTTCCCTACTCCTGTACTCTACCACCCTTGACATCAGGCCCACCATTCCATTAGCCTTCCTGATTACATATTGTACCTGTGTGCTAACTTTGTGCTTCATGCACAAGTACTCCCAAGTCCGATTTTGTTGCAGCTTTCTGCAGTTTCTCTCTATTTAAATAATATTCTATTCTTTTGTACTCCTTTCCAAAATGAACAGCTTCTCTCTTTCTCACATTATACATGAAGCAGAAAGTGGGCATAACTGGGGCATTTTCAAGTTGACATTGAATAGTGGATCATTGCTGGGATGTCAGCTGCTTACTATTTGCTTCAGATGAAGTGAGAGAACTAGGTATCTAAGTTTGTTGGTGATGCAAAGAAAGATGGTAATGTGGACAGGGTGCAAGTAGGCAATGATATGGTAGATTAAGGATTATGTTATACTCTATGTACTTAGCAGTTTTAGATACCAAAGGCACAGAAAATGAAGACTCATCCACCTGTTCTGCTCTGCTCCTAAAGGTTGTGGGTGACCTATTCCTGAAGAGAGACAGAAAATGTGTAGTGATTGTGTAGTACTGGATTTGGGTAATGTGTCTGTAACAGCTGAGTAGATGGCGTTCTGTGGAAACAACATTGTTGATTGAGGCTGGTGTCACTGGCATGTGTGAGGTTGGAATGGACTATCTGAATGTCAAACCAGAGTGTTCAGGACTATACTGGCTGTTGTGTATTGAGTAGCTTGAGAGGATTGTGGTTCAATGCTTATGAAATCCTTTGAAGATGTATTTACCATCTTGACCACCCAGGTAAAGTCATGGCTGCCAGGTTGTGTGCGCTGTACCCCTCAAATTTACCTCCTTGGCCACCTGCTGCTATTGCCTCCAAAGAGCACTCCTTGAAGGTCTTTTAGATTCCTGTCAAAGCTGCATTTCTTAGCTTCCTTTCAACTCCAAGACTCAAACCTCCTTCCAATCTGTGTTTAACCAATTTATTAGATTTTAAAGAAGTAACATGCTGTAGTAAAGGAGAGCCAGTGGATGTACTGTACCTGAATTTCCAGAAGGCTCTTTATAAAATGTCACATCAAAGATTACTTGAGAAAATAAAAGCTCATGGTGTAGGGGATAACGTATTGGCATGGATAAAAGATTGGCTGACCAGCAGAAAAACAGTCTGCGTAGATCGGTCTTTGTCTGATTGGCAGGATGTGGTGAGTGGAGTCCCAGAGGGATCTGTTTTGGACCCTCCACCTACAATTTACATCCGTGACTTCAATAAGCAGAGCAAAAGCATGATAGTTAAGTTTGCAACCAACACAAAGGAAGGTATTGTGAACATGAGTTTGCAGGAGGATACTGATAGGTGAGTGTGTGAATAAAAAAAAAAAAATCTGGCAGGAGTGCAACGTAGGAAAATATATTCAATTTTTAAAAATTACATAATTAAAGAGAATGCAGACATTCAAGGTGTAGAGAGATCTAGGTATTCTGATGCATGGTGCACAATATGATAGTATGCAGGTACAGCATGTAATCAATACAACTAATGTGATGCTATCCTTTTATGAGGAATTCATCAGAAAAATGAGGTTGTAATTTGAAATTGGTGAGACCGTTTCCTGAATATTATGCACAATTTTGATCTTACTTCAAGAATGTTGTATATGCATTGGAAGTGGTTTAGATGACGTTGTCTAGATTGACTTTGGAGACAATAAGGATTGCAGATGCTGGAAGCCAGAGTCCATAGGTGTGAGGCTGGAAAAACACAGGTCAGGCAGCATCCGAAGAGCAGATAAGTCAATGTTTCAGGCCAAAACTCTTTGTCAGGACTGACATGGCTGTGGTATCAAGATTGCTTCAGAATGTGGTTGAAGAGCTTCAGGGCGGAGGGGACAATATGGTGGGGGGTGGGGGGGCAGCGGGGGGAGGTTGCAGTGGGAGAGAGAATCACTGAGCTGTCTTAGTGGGGAGGTGGGAACTTTATGGTGGGCATCCTTAGATGAGACTTCACTATGTTGGTTTTCCAGTTCTGGCAAAGGGCTTCAGCCCGAAACGTTAACTTACCTGCTCCTTGGATGCTGTCTGAACTGCTGTACCTTTCCAGCCTCTCACTTATAGATTTTGTCTAGATTGATATTTGGAATATTTGGTTTGTCTCATGAAGATGGGTTGAACAGATTGGGAATTATTTCCACTGACATTGAGCAAGGAGTGTGGGCTGGCATGGTGGCACAGTGGTTAGCACTGCTGCCTCACAGCGCCAGGGACCCGGGTTCGATTCCAGCCTCGGGCGACTGTCTGTGTGGAGTTTTCACATTCTCCCCGTGTCTGTGTGGGTTTCCTCCGGGTGCTCTGGTTTCCTCCCACAATCCAAAGATGTGCAGGTTAGGTTGATTGCCCTCATCCTATTCATTCACGGGGTGAGGGCATCACTGGCCAGGCTGTATTTATTGCCCATCCCTAATTGCCCAGAGAGCAGTTACAAGTCAACCCCATTGTTGTGGGTCTAGAGTCACATGTAGGCCAGACCAGGTGAAGGATTGCAGTTTCCTTCCCTAAAGGGCACTCGTGAACCAGATGGTTTTTCCCCCTAACAAATCAGCAATGGATTCCTAGCCATCGTTAGATTCTTAATTCCAGATATTTACTGAATTCAATTTCCACCATCTGCCGTGGTGAGATTTGAACCTGG